CTTTCTAGATGAAGAGAGAGACAGAAAAAAAGGGTATTATATGTCTATTTTTTTCCGTCTTGCATGCTTCATGCTCTAATGTCCGATGCTGCCTTGCGCAGCCGGTTCATGACCGCCTCGGCGATGTCGCTTTTGTCCTCTATACCTTCTACGAAGATGATGTCCGCGCCTAAAAGGTCCAGCTCCCTCAAAGCTGAGAACAGTCCCTGGGCAATCCCCCGGGTGTCCTTCCCAAGATCGATGTCAAGGACGAGCCCAACAGTCTCCCCATCGTTATTAGTCAGGGCCCCTTCCAAGACACTGTATGATGTGTCTGCCTGTTTCTTATCTCCATTCTGCTTGCTCTCCCCCGCCCTGGCAGGGTGAAGCTCGCTGGTCTTGAGTCCTGCCGCTTGCTTCCACCGCTGAGTGCGCACAACACCGACTATCGGTTGTGACTTGCCGTTGGATCCCTGGCTCTGGGCGGTATACGCAGACTCAATGTCATCCAAGCTGATGCCTTCCCCTTGAGATTGATATGATGCTTCGTACAGCACAACCGTGGCCTTGGGGCTATAGTGCTTGTACTTCATCCCAGGCGCCCTAGGCGCCTGGCCATTCTCGCTGTGGTCCTTATACCCCTTGACGACGTTCTCCCAGCCGGGGCAGCTCCTCAGCTCATCCATGCTCAAACCGCCAGGCCGCAGCACCGCAGGCGGGTCAGAGAGACCGTCCACAACCGTGCTCTCCACGCCGACCTGGCACGCCCCGCCGTCGAGAATGAGCTCGATCCTCCCGTCGAGATCGTGTTTGACGTGCTGTGCAGTGGTGGGCGAGGGCTTAGTCGATGCATTGGCCGAGGGGGCCGCGAGGGGAACGCCGGACAGCTTGATGAGGGAGAGCGCAAGAGTCGACGACGGCATCCTCACGCCGAAAGTCGACAGGCCCGCCGTGACCTCGGGGGCCAGCTTCGGCTGCGACGGGTTGGGCAGCAGGATGGTCAGAGGGCCCGGCCAGAAACGCTCGATAAGTGATTTGTACCTCCAGGGTATCACGTCGTCGGTCTTCTCCGCCGAGGCAGAACCTGAACCGTCTTTGCCACCTAGCAGGTCTCGCAGCATCTCCAGGTCACAGACATGGCTGATGAGAGGGTTGTCAGAGGGTCGGTTCTTGGCTGTGTAGATCCCCCTCACGGAGGCGGACCTCGTGGCATCAGCGCCCAGCCCGTAGACGGTCTCGGTAGGGAAGGCCACGGGGGTATCTTTGGTGCTCAGGTATTCGCCAGCTTCCCTCAGGATCCGAGTTGCCTCGACGTTGTCTGTGTTGACGTTCCAGCGCTCCAGGCCTGATCCCTTCTCAAAATTTCCAAAGGACTGGTCGTCCGGGACTCTCAATATTCTGGTCTCCATCTTTGTAGAAGCTGGTGGTCTCTCGACCACGGCTGTGTGAATAGAACCAGATGTTGATACTGTAAGTCGGTAGATGCGACGATGTGCTTCCTTTGGTGAGTCAGAGGGCGGCAGTGAAACTGCAGGATGCGTAGTAGGTTTATCCCCGCGCCCAGGGCTTGGACTTATCAAAGAGATCGAAGAGCAGGCTCGCTTGGGGACAGGCACGAAACCTAGTACAAGACGTCGAGATCGTAATGTGGAACTACGGGATATTGCTGCCTTGAGAAAATTCATATGAAAAAGAAAAATTACACCAGTGTGCCACAGCACTAGTCACAGCCTACTACCTCACTCTAACGGGTAATTCTTTGTGGGTAGAAATGTGACTCATTGGCTGCAGGTGGTTTTTTCCTGTCAAAGTTGGCAATGAGGTAATCCTGCTCTTCTTACCAGGCTCAGGCGTCAAAGAGTTTAGTTCAGGTGAATTTTGCCCACCGACGGCGCTGTGATGACTAAGCATCATGAAGAATCACTTACACGGAGGTTATTTCCATCGTGGCATCTAGGTCTCAATTGTTCCATACTTGTTTGGACATTAGGTCTACCTATTAGAGCCAGCTAGTCTCTGGTGCGTGACATCATTATCGTTCCGTCTATCTGCTCATGTGATTCATCGTCTCCCCTCTCAACGTTTCATCTTCTTCAACGAAACTCGCTGCCATTAGTTCTCTCGTAATACCAAACAGCATTCTCAGCCTGAGCACAGCTTGTGAGTCTTCCACCGACGGAAGCGGGCAGTCTGAGGGCCTTTTGGTCCTGGAGCCTTCCCAGTACATTCGAGTAGTACCACATCTCGTTCAAGACTGTACCGCCGTTGTCCAGGGAGCCTTTACCGGCCTCGGTCTCATTGTACTTGGGGCCACCGCAACCGACGAAGGGGGGCTGGCCGTAGCTGTCGCTCAAAGCCTTCTGGATCTTGGCCACGCTGTACGAGGTCTTGTTGGAAGGCTTGATTCCGGCAGCGCTCAGCCAATCATAGGTTGGCAGAGTACGATGGTAGCGAATGACAGTCTCGAAGAACTCGAAGAGGTCGTCAAACTTGGAGTAATTGGGACCCTGGGAGCTGGGAGTTAGTATCCAATCGGTGGAAAAGGAATATCCAAATGGAGCTGAAACTACTTACATAGCACTCGGTTTGGAAGGTAGAGAAGCAGGTGGCGTGCTTGGAGTATTCATGGGCCCAGAGAACCCAGTTGGGATCGAGCTGGGAGACCCAGTGCCTGTTCATGTATGCCAGAAGATCCGCCTTGCCGTTCGGGACAAACCACTTGTCAATGGACTCGCCCTTGTAGGGAGGCACTGGGGTGCCATCGGGGGTACCAGTAGTGGTATTGGGAGAGGGTTTAGGGTCGTACTGGCGGCTGAGAGATCGTTAGGGCTTTTTTTATTTTCGCGCGCAATTCATGGGAGATCGCGACCTACCTCAAGTCGCAGTACTGCGTATACTTGCCTATATGTGCAAAATAGTCAGAAAAAACCCCCAACAAACGCAGGAATTGAAACAAATGGGATTCAATCGCTAACTCGAACAGAAGTCAGGCCACCCGCCATGAATAGTCCAAGCCTTTTGAGGCAGAAGCTGGCCATCTTTCTCAAGACCGGTGTAAGTGTCCCAAAACTGGGTGATAAGCTGCAATTGATATTAGCCTATCTGCACCACCACTGCGATTGTATTGCCAGGGTCGCGGTACATGTAGTTCCGCAAGCCACTGGCCAGGCTAGACTTACCACTAGGCCACCAAAGGTCTCAGTGCAGCAGCTGTCAACCTTGGAGGGGTCGGCAGCGGCAGAGCAGGACAGGATAGGGTCGACTGCGACAACGGACGAGCTAGCAGTTAGCCTCGGGTCCCAGGTTACAGATTGAATTGCGACAGGCAGCAATTGACGTACCAAGAGCACAGGTGTGGTTGTGAGGGGTGATGCCAGGGTAAAGCCCAGCGGCCGCGAGCTTGGCGGAGGCGGCCAGAGAGAGGAGGACGGTGTTGCGGAACATGGTGACGGCCTAAGCAGTTCGTTCGTGCAATTGTCTCGCTTGCTTGGCACAGTCTGGCTTGGCGATGCGCTACGATCGATCCTACGACGGAGGCTGCGTGTGGAGGATTCGTTCTGGAAGCGAAGCAGAAGCAGGTAACAAAGAGCAGAGCAGAGCTCGATTATTTATACCGCTCTACCTCCATGGCGACGAGAGCCATAAGCAGGTCCAAGGCCCGATCCTTTGGCCCAATTGACGTCAAGACCGACAAAAGCACATGCCTGTTTGAGAAGGCCAGGCGATCCATCTAAGACTGTTATCGGCTGGTTCTCTCGGGGTGGCCACAGACCTTGCAGCTTCCCATCGCGGAGAGGTCGAAGCCTCCACCAGCCCCATGCGAGCGCATGCTTCAACGTTGCATTGTGGTTGGCTCCCGGTCTGTGGGTGCCGGCGCGGCACGCGGAGCTGGCCGTTGGGTTGGGAATAGCTGCAGAGTTCCAAAGGGCCCTTTGGAAGCTCGATCAGAAACGGACTGTGGCTGGTCCACGTTTTTGCCTCTCTGCGCTGCCTCGTGCTCTGCTCATGCTTGCCCGTGCCCTTCCCTCGCGATGCTGCTGGGCCTCTTCAGTCTCAAGCGGCCTTGGCGAAGTAATTGGGGGGGCTGGAGATTCCCGATTATCGAGCATAGCCGGATGCATATTTGTAGGCAGTTCCACTGTCCAAGAAGCCTGCTCACGAATAAAGGCAGCACAATGCGATAATTTAGTGAGCTGCAGAGAGCTTCCCAATTCTCAATGGTTGTAGGTGCCGGAGGAAGGAGCCACCTGTCTCCCGGTCGATAGAGCTCATGCAGGCTAAAATTGTCAGCAGCTTGGTGTGTAATATCCCGGCAAGTGGGTGACATTAAAATTGAGACACTCAAACATTAAGTCGCTTATTCTCGAGTCTGCGACCGGTATTCTCATGTTACTGAGAGTTAATAATATTATTTTACTATACTAAATTACTAAAACTTATCTAGTATCAAATATAACTATTTAGTAGCTATTTTGTTATCTTTTACCGTTAAAAGTTCTCGACAATCATATCCTGATTATCTTTCTAGGTTGGTTGAGCGCCCCCTACATGCGGCGTTATGGGAGTGATGAAAGGGACCAACTGGCGGTTGTTGTTGTGATTTTCTTCCCCAAATTGCCCTGGAGCGAGGTTGCCGAGTTCGTTATTTATGTTAATCAGAGCGTGTAGGCTTGAAATGCGGTTATGGACCCTGATAATCGAAGCTGGCTTTTTCTACCTTGCTATTACATGCCGCTCACGAGTCACTTACGTAGAAGAAGATGAATCGTAGAATTGAACTATCTCATCCTAAAACTATAATTGTGTCAACAACCTGTACGCCGTGGGGACCCAAAGTGACATAGTGTAGATATTTAACACCTTCTTCCTTCGCCTTGGTCAGTGGCAGGGCGGAGTGGCATGCAAGGCTTGATAATGGATTGCGAAGTAGTCATTTAAAGGGGAGCGACATATTTATTTCCACCCTTCTCTGCTAAGTATCCAGCGCCATAGTTCATAATCCCGGGTTTCCATCTACAGGCTCACGCCTCGCTGGCATAAACGTTTCTTGTCCAAACCCAAGCCAGAATACGGGATACCCTATGATCTCCAATATAATCTCCAATATGTGTGGGCTCATTTTTGAATTGCCACTGAATCCCATTGTTGAGTGCTAAGTTCTTCATCTCATCAACGAAAATGTCCTCTTCACCGACTATATGCACCGTAATTGCGAGAACAGTACCACACACATACTCCGAATCCCTCTCCCATTCCGAGAGTATTGCCATATTCCTCACCTTCGCGATATCCTGTTCGACCTTCGTTTGAAAGCCGCGAAAATCACCCCTAATAAGGCACTTGAGCTCCAAGAATTCACGCAGATATTTTGAAGGTTGATAATCTGACAAGAGTTTATAGGAGGTGAGAAAATCGCAGCGCTGGTTAGTGCCCGCGTAGACCTTTCGCTCGCGAGAGCATTCCGTCCGCCAGGATCTGTCTTCTTGTTCATCGTTTTCAGTTTTTTCGGATATTCGCTGGATTCCGAGTTCAGCCTGAGCCCAAAGTTCCCACCCGAGGCCCATTTCGAAGATTTTAACGACCTTCTCGGTTTGAGGTGCCAGGGCGTCGAAGACGGTTATTTGCCAGCCTTCAGATGACATGATTGAGGAGGGTTTAGATTTGATAGTTTGGCTTTTGGTAGATTGTATGTATTTGAAGGAAGAGTATAATAGTTTGCTGGTATATTATTACTTGGTTGGAATAGGTAAGAAGAAGGGGATCACATAGGGACTTTATATTTTGCAAGTCTGGGGGTTGGTTCGCCGAGGCTGGAAACGGATGCCTTGCCTAAATTCTTTACGTGATAATCTTGCACAAATTCATACCCAACAGGCTGACCGTAGTATTGCGACCGACCATGCATGCTCACAGGGTGGTCAATCAGCACATGTGTCTGTAAGGTCAGGTGTGACGATATGCATCAAAATGCAACCACTGGTTTCAGCCGTATGAATTGTGCAAAATATTACCGGCTTACACCTCCTTGATGAGTTAACCATTTTACCTTGGTACTCTCCGCCTACACACAACACCACACACGAATAAATTGCAGTTTGATAATAAACTTAGGTATAGAGTTCTGGAATATCTTATTGATAGCTTAGAATGTAAGTTACTAACTCTACATTTTCAGAAGTATACGAAGGGTACTCAATAGCGAGCAGAAGCGATCTTCTGCTGAGCAATTGACAACCTAGGTAGGCAAGAATGGTGGACGAAATTGATCCCAAGCATCAATTTCTGGTCTGGCCGAGGTTCAAGGTAGCTCAGAAAGCGAGTTCACGGCAAAATCATGCCAGCCAGCGGGGAAAACACCATCAGTCCTCAGGCTCTGAATAAATTGAAGCCGGCTGTAGTCAAATTCCTGCACTGAGGTGAGATTCGCCAGCTCAAATATGCAACCTTGGCGAGGACCACAGGTATCCCTAGGACATTCGCTCGTCCCCTCGCACGCACTGTAGGAAGGCCAATGGGGCAGTGTACCACGGACATTGTCAGGCTTGTTAGGATTGGAGCTCTTGGCGAAGTTGGTCAGGTATGTCATGATATACATCGCCATCTTCGCGTCATCGGGCCCCGGTTTAACGCCTCGTGTTGAGAGCCCGAAATCTCTAAGGGTGCCAAAGTCGTATGGCAAATCCTGGCCATGTCCAGCGATTGGATTGAACTCCGAGGTGAAGTTGAAAGTATAGAGCCAACTCGGCTGGCCAGTGGTTCTCTCATGTTCATGGACCGCCTCCCAAGTTTGCTGTCGGATTACCATATCTCCAGTCCAGAGGAAAGCTGAATCTTCGGCTTGGGTGTCCGATGTGGCAGGGAAATATTTGCTCATGGCATCTCTGAGCGTAGCTTCGGGAAGCCCTGACATGTTCAGCCACGAGAAGAGGCGCTCATTGAACAGATCAGCTGTACCATGCTCCAACGCCCGCTGCTGGAATAGAGTGTCCTCCCGGGCGTTAAATCCAGCGAGAAAAGGCACCCTCGCCTGCTTTCCGGAACTGAAAACGCTCGGGACATATTGAGGGATGACATAGTTGTCAATATTGGGACTAAAGGCGACAATAGCAGGGTCAAGGCCGTTCCACAAGCTCGTGTTCTGTACCAAATATGCCGGCATACTTCGCAGCTCTGCAAGTGTTGCATTGGGCCGTGCGGCTGAATCAGCCCAGTTCAAGCCTCTCTGACGGGATTGAGCAAAGCTCTCCATGTTGCCGTGCTCAGAGTCCCAGTAGGTACCGCTCGAGCACATCACCTTGTCAAACAGGCCCTCGCTGAGAGGCGATGCCATGAGTATGGGCAATGCGTGCGCTCCAGCCGACTCGCCGAAGGCCATGACATTTTTTGGATCGCCTCCAAACGCCTCGATATTTGCTCTCACCCATCGAAAGGCTTGCATGATATCCTGAAGCCCGAAATTGCCAGAGTTCCCGACGGGATCCTCAGCATCGAGAGCGGGATGGGCCAAGTATCCAAAGTTTCCCAGACGGTAGTTGATAGTTACGACAACGACACCTTTCAGGCACATGTGCACACCTTCGAATAGAGGGTTGAGTCCTGAATCGAAATTGAAGCCGCCGCCGTGCACCCAGACCATGACAGGCAGACGCTCCAAAGCAGTCTTGGCCGGGGTCCAGACATTCAGATACAGACAATCTTCGGAGGTTGTTTCGGTAACATTGTCACCAACAAAGCCCCAACAGGATGTCGTACCGACGGTTGCATTGATCGGCTGAGCGGAAGTATCAGGGGGGAGAGGAGAACGCCATCGCAAGTCACCAACCGGAGGCTTGGCATATGGAATACCCTTAAATACTGAGATTCCAGTCTCAGTGATGTTGTTGGTGATAATAGTACCATAGGACGTCTTAGCGGTCGATGTCTTAGTCGTTGGGTTGAGACTAAACTGAGCCGTGGCAAGGTGTGCCAACCAAACGAGGGTGCAGAATTTTGAACGCATGATAAACAAAAGATGGCCCGAGTCAAATCTTGGAAGAATGTTTCTGAAGGGATAATGGAAATAATGGAATCCAGTCCGAACAACAGGACGTTCAGCATCCATTTATACCCCGATGCATCATAGATATGGTGGCTTATAGGGAAACCGAATCTCATGAGGCTCACTCCTCTAGGTTTAGTGTGCGATACCCTTGCGTTTGAGATCATAAGCAGCCTCCATACTTTACGCGTCATAAGATTTCGATCATTTCATGTTAAAGGCATTATCCAGCGGTAAAGACCAATGACCTGAACGAGCTGTATTGTAACAACAATGCTGACCTGCTGGTTCACTCGTAGGTGGAATTTTTGCTCAACGAAATACCACCGTTTGTTTGAAGTTCCTTGAGCGGCCATTCAAGCAGCTCGCTAAACTCCCCATCAAGATCCTTTATCGCTAGATGGGCCAATGTGTCCATCGTGCCGATCAGATAGTACAACTTCGGCGCTCGTGACATTACGGCGCACCAGTACACGAAAATTACCCTTGCAAGGCCACAGCCGCTCTCCAGCATTTCGATATACTCCTCGGAAACTCCTGCCGGCCAGCTAAAGAAGTGCACCCACATCTTGGGTTGACATGAAACAAACTGAGCCCATTGCCTGAGGGACTGGGCCGTATTTTGCAAAACTAAGCTACCAGATGTGGTCGTTTTGGCGTGGCAAGCCCCCTCCAATCTGCCAATCGCCGCTATTAATTCGTGATCCGGTGGGAAGCGGTGTTGCAGAATTCTCTTCAGAAGATTATCAGCCCGAGGGTGAGAGAACACTAAAGGATCCATCTGGCTTCCGAGTGACTTGGGCCCTCGTAGAATCCTCACTATAGAGGCAGGACTGGCACTGGTGCTCGGATCACCAAATCTCTGGGAAACGAAGCTAACGTCAAAATTGAAGAAAACCGAGGTTATGATGAATTCGGCCACGGGAACCCAATTCTCGACATTGAGATCTGACACAGTCGAACGGAAGAGAGTAGATGCTTTGACTGCATGGAAACAGGCGGCGTGGTAGTAGAGGCCGCCGTTCACGAAATCTGTCCGGCATGCATGTAAGCCAGAGATAGCCAAAAGTGCGTGTCGAAGAAATGGGTAAAGAGTAGACGCGTAAGCTACATGTTGATACCAGTCTGAATCCGAGTCAGCTGCTGGAGCAAATTCTAGCGATGTCCGGACGAGATAGTGATCCATGAGAATGGCGCTGAGGCCATCCTCAAGGGACGAGTCGTGGAGCCGGCAAATAGGTCGTGTTTTTGAAGACAAGGAGACTTCTGGATAAATAGGCATTCCAAGATATGGATGCTTCCCAAAAGCTGTAGGTACCCTAGAATGGCTGGTCGAGATGCCATTTGCCCCAGAGGTATTCACACTTTGTTTGATGTCGACCTCGCGAAGCTGATAATCACACATCTCATCCCTCTTCCAACAATTAGAGCACACTGGCGGTCTTAAATCACACTTGAGAAAACAAAAAGTCTCGTCTTAGCTATTCTTCTCCAGTCTTGAAGTGGGTATAGTTACCTTGACATGTCTTCGTTTGCACTGGCCACACCCATTCCGTGACTTGTGATGAAATCTCTTGGATCCAACCGAGCTCAACACCATATTTCTCGAAACCACTTTTGTCATGAGAATAACTTTGATTCTGCTTGGTTAAGTTTGCTGCCGTACACCTTCAACATTTAATTGAGGCTGCCATCAATGGATCCTTGATAACAAGACCCAGGCAACCGGGGCTTCTGACAGGGGGCTCGCACACCAAACCATACCAGGTATAGCCCCTTTATTGCTTCTAGCCACTTGATGCTTAACCCGGACGGTTGCCGTCTTACCCCAGCAACCAACCGCCCATAGTGACATGGGCCTAGTAAAAGTGCCTTGCTTCAGCAGGCAACTGGATCAGCTTACAATTCTCCCTCACATTTGCTTATCTAGGGGGTGCGAAAGCAACACTTACCTTGCCGTACAATTATACCTTCCTCTCCCTCTTGCTAGGCTTCGAGGGGTGAGCGAATTTCGCTTGTCCAGCATGGCATTGAGGCAAAGAAGTAAGGTGACTTGAATGAAATCATTGCCAGGATAGACGCCCAATCCAGTTTCTTATAAAGTACCTGCATTCAAGGCAGCCTGCTGATAGGTTGGTGTATGTCTGACTGTAGGACTTAGCTGCCCAACAGGCTGTGTAGTTGAGTTGCTAATTGCACATTTCTCCCATTGACCGTGTCTTTCATTTTGTGTCGCTCGCCCATCATCAATCACCCATCCATTCAGTGCCAGTTGACGACAACAAGAATAAATTCATGATGGACCCTATCACGGCTTTTCAAGTCGCAGCTTCGGTGATCACCTTCGTTGAATTAGGTGCAAACTTGATACAAATCGTCAGGGAAGTCCGCGACTCTACAGAAGGTGTCACGAAGGAAAATAAGTTGAGAGCCGCTGTCAATCGGTCGATGCGTCCAATACTGGATGCAATCAGCACATCAGACTACTCCAGCATACCCGAAGATGAAAGACCTTTGTATGACCTCGCTCTGGAATGCCAAAAATGCCACAATGAGATAGACGAATTACTGGGCCGCCTTGCAGCGAAAGGGAACCGCCGGCTCGACAGGTTTCTGTCTTCTTTCAAAGCGGTTCGCAATGAGCCCGAGCTGAAAAAGTTGGAGTCGAGACTTGATAAATGCCGTCTTCAGATATCAGCCCACCAAATCCAGATACAAGGGTAGGCCTAGCCTCACGCTCTCTATACACCCAACTTCTAACATCGATTTCCCCAAGAAAACGACTCATCGAATTCTATCAAGTACTGCAAGCCCAAGGGAATAACGGGCTCCAGATGGTCGAGGCTATGCAAAAGCACGTTGGCTCAATCAAAGCAGACTTGAACCAACTTCAGAGCAAGATAGCCCAGGACAACCTCTCACTCATTCTTGCGTGCCACGAGGAAGCTCTTGCGCCTATATATGCCGATCGCATTCAAAAGAAGCTCCATTTCTTCAAAGCGACCGCTACAAGGTACTCAAGCATAGACAATCCCAAAGAAGGGACCTTCTCCTGGATTTTCGACGATAATTACAACCTTGTGGCTTCTGAACACTCATCTCCAGGGGAAGATACTCGCGATATTATCGGAAGACCGCAATTTCTCAATGAACAAGACCAAATCAAGAGGGCTCATATGAGAGATAAGTTTATAACTTGGCTTAGCTCTTCCGACGGAATATTCCATTTCACTGGAATACCGGGTGCGGGCAAGTCCACGATGATGAAGTTCATATACGAAAATCCAGCAACGAAGGAAGAACTCCAGAAATGGGCTGGTATGGGAATGTTATGCGCTATCTGGGTGACGAAACTACTGAAGCTGATCGAATCTTTATAGGAAGCAGGACATTGTGTCTTGCTAAGCATTTCTTTTGGAGGCCCGGCTCGGACCTACAGCATAATCTCGCCGGCCTCTTCTACTCTCTTCTTCATGAAATCCTCGAAAACTGCCCGGAATTGATACCAGACGCGATGCCTGAGTATTGGAAGATGGTACAACAGATACCAATAGCTGTTGATCCAGACATCGAGATTCCACCCATCGCAGTTGAAAATGCTCTGTTTACTTTAATTCAGAATGAGAATATCATCAAGCATCACTGTTTTTGCTTTTTCATCGATGGTCTTGATGAGTTTCTCGGTTCAGATCAACAAGACTACACGAGCTTGGCAAATTTATTGACCAGATGGGTAGAAAATTCAAATGGAAACCTCAAAATTTGTGTCTCAAGTCGAGAAGAAAATGCTTTCATGAATGCATTTCCCGAAGACCAGCGGCTCCAACTTCACCAACTCACTTGGGATGATATCTCGACCTACGTCCGTGAAGGATTAAAGGGACTTGAGGCCGGTTATTCCAAAGATGAATTGGTTTACAGACTTTGCGACCGGGCCCAAGGGGTCTTTCTCTGGGTGATTCTCGTTGTCAGAGATATCCGTGAAAAGATTGAGAGCGGTGAAACCAACCCTCAAGAAATCGAAGCAAGACTATCTATCCCTGAGGGATTAGAAAATCTCATCGGCCATATATTGCACAGACTAAGCTCGGAGAAGCGAAAGAAATTGTCACAGATCGTGGCAATGTTTCATTTGCAGCGTCAATTCGAAGACGAGTGGATAGGTGGTGGTCTCATCCTTACACGACTTGCTTTTTCATTTCTTGATGAGTATAACTCAGACCACAAATTTGCAACCAGGAATACTTTCAATGAAAACGAAACACACCTAAATGAGAGACTTCTGCGTGCCGAAAAGCAAATCCGATATTGCAGCGGTGGGTTTCTTAAAACATCCGAGCAGGAGGAAGCAATAGTGTTCATCCACAGGTCCATTCCCGAAGTCCTTGGCAAGGAGGAATTCAGGCACCTCCTAGGATATGTTGATGCGGTCGAAGCCGCAAAGGCGCTATCACACCTAACATTCGCCCAGATTCGTGCCGGGGCGTACAACAACAAAGAGGCTGGCGGTTTTCTAGCTCCAGTCATGACTATGTGCCTTAAGGCCCTTGACGAGAGTGTTTATGATTTCCTGGCATGTATACACGAATGGTATAATGACAAATTTCCTCTCGAAGCTCCCGAAGCGCACTGCATTTTCACTCTACCCAGAGCTCCGCGCATGACACATATATGTCGTGGCTTGGGATACGTGCCTCGAAGATGTAGGCCAATCGATGAGAACGAATTCCTATGCTTTAATGCTCTCTTTTACGCCGCAATCAGTGGGAATATCAAGTTCGCTAAATTCATAGTTGGAAAGAATCCCGATTATCTGAAGCAACCATGGATAAGAGCGCAAGTAGTCGAGATACTGCTCTTCAGTCCTAGACCGGACATAGCTGCCTGGAACAGCTTTCTGGATGGTGAGATGTTGAAAGAACATCGAAACCGTCGCTCCATCAAACCATATTTACCATATCCACTTAAGTATACAGCCGATGAATTATTACCATGCAATATCAGCATCTGGCAGTGGTATTTAACTTGGGAATTCTTCGATTCTCTGGCCGAAGAAAATGCTTCTCGCGATTTCGTAACCGTTGAGTGGTTCCTAAGCCACGACGCTTCTACGAATTTCGAAGCAAAGATCTATTCTCAAGAAATGATCGACAGTGAGACGGAAATCTGTATATATTTTGGCAACAACCATCTCTCATTCCTAGTCCCACCCGAATACATTTCTCTGTGGGCAAGCCGGAATCCGAACCTGTTTAAACTCCAAACAGTATCTCTTCGAGAATGGATCACACACTTTGCCCCTGATAATATGGAAAAGCTCCTTGTTCTGATCAATGCGAGCCCGGAATCAGATAACCATCCCTCCAGGGATGAGCATTCACGTAATGCTCTAGCTCAGAATAAGTCAGTGCTCGCGGTATCTAAAGCGCAGGAGCCTGCAATTGAACCAGAAGATGCAAGATCAGGGAGGGAGCGCATTTTGGATATCAAGCGAGGAAACCTGGCAGCGTATGCTGACTTCAGAGCCACAATCATACTAGGTATGTGATTAACTCCTTGCCACCTCGGATAATCATTCTGACTGGGACCAAAGCAACATTGGCTCTTGGTCTAATCATAGCTTGGATACCAATGGGAAAATCTTAGATATAATTGGAGGGAGCTTGTACTCCCCAGGCTTATGTATCAAGCCCAAGAGCTACTTGAGGCAGAAAATTATGGCGTGGGACATTGATAAGGAATTTTGAGGTATATTAGCGGGAGTTTTATACCCGGTAGAGACTTGGCATTAACACCACCTGATATTGATGTGGCATGAGAGATGCAAAAAGCTTCTGCTTGCTGTTATAAGTGCATTTACACATACCTCTTCCACATACGACCATACCTATTCGAGAACACGCGATCCCGTCCGCTCTCGCCTAGTTAAACGGATAAGGGGCCGATTAGTAGTTGGGTCGGTGACGACCAGCGAATACCGGCTGTTGTATGTGTTTGAGTTTTTTTTGTCTATTTTTTGGTTGATAAATGCCCTCATTGAAGCTCAAACCGTCTGTCTTTTCCTCTGGTTGTTGGTGACCATGCGGCCATGTCGGCCGGCCCGAATTGTGGAGATTCCCATCACGTACACTTGTTCCACTAACACCTACCTAGATTCCAATCATCACTCGCAGGCATACCTCGATGGTACTTGGCACTTTAACAGGCGAACAGTCCAACGGCTCTATCTGCCTCCAATTTCCTAGTATACCGATCAGATAGAATGATACCGGACATATAAACATGCTCATCCTCCCCTAAAATACTATAAATTTCCCTCTTGGTATATTTCTATATTCATATGTATGCTTTTAGACACGTAGAAAACAAAGCGGCCTCACAGGTTGATGATTCTAGGCTCTATTCCCAAGCTCAATCCCTAACTAAACTCCTGGCTTTTCTCTTCTCTTCGTCAGTCAAGACCCAGTCCATGCCATCCTCGCCGTCAAGCGCAACCAGCTCGTCCCACTCGTCATCCTCCATGTTCGCCACCATGAGCAGCTGGGTAACCTTGGCGAACGTCTCTCTGACGAGGTAGTTGCCTCGCGAGACGATGTCCACTATGCCCGTAAAGTCTCTTTCTATGCGTATAGCGCCGTAGGCATTTGTCCTGCCTCCATAACTCAAGATTCGCTTCTCGAGCACCTTGGAAAGATAACGAGCTGTAAGGTCAGACAGGCTGCTGAAGGTCCCTGGTGTCATCAGCCGCCCAATGGGCTTCATCAGTTGGTCCCATCCATATTCAAACCGCCGTGGCACCTGCTCGAGTATTTCGTTCTCGTCTTCTTCACCCCCTCGCGTCAATGCAGCAATGTCATCTTCGGTAAGAGTATAGTCTGCATCCCGGAATGTATCTGCCAGCACTGGTCGTAACCGTGGCTTGATGACCTGGTTGAACAGCACCTGGATTCCTTCATTCAGGAGCTCTGTTGTCTTTGCGACAAAGGATGATTGAAGAGTGTTAAGAGCGTTGGTCACGAAAGCCACATCTTTTTCGAACGGGAATGCGTTCTTCAGAGGGCCTCCACCATCTGCGCCCCCTCCAGCGCCAATACGACCGCTGATGATTCTTGTCAGGTACTCGTTAGCTGTGTCCAGGCTGTTGATCAGTACGATGAACTGGATAATCTTGTCCTCCGGCGGGAAGCCGCCCTGAACAACAGGCTTGGGGTACGACTCGTCGCGCATCTTGCGCTGAATCATGCCCACAAAGTCCGAGCTGAGCACTCGCCCAATTGTAGGGACAACGGATGCAATGATGTCTCTTTGTGAGGTTGCTATCGACTTTTCCACGACGGCATTCACAATATACATGACATCGTCCACGGCCAAGATAATATAGGGCGTGTTGCTGTCAATCTGCCTGTTCATGCTCAGACTCAAGCCGGTAGGGTATTCATCCAGCTGGAAGGCCTTTTCTACTGAGCGACGGAAGAAGAAGGTCGTCATGACATTATAGGGGCTGATCAATTTTCCTGACACCTTTCGATATAGGTTTGATTTAATAAGGACCTCGGGGATGCTTAGAAGAGATTCCACAGGGAGATCAGGATCCTGTAAGAAAGGTTAGTAAATGTGGCTGCTATGATCGAATGACAGGCAATTGTCCTTACCTTGCACTTTCCGGCGAGGAACCGGGAAAACATGGACCACCGGGCTAACATGACAGCAATTTCACTCAATAGGCCGTCTACCTCTTTCATGTTCACGCCTTCGTCCTCACTGGCCCGTGGGTTATTCCCAACACCGACCGCTGGCGAGTTCATCCTCGGCGTGCCCACTCTAGGGGGTTGTGGGAGAAAACTCTGGACCAAAAAGGAGAAGGGGTAGCTCTTCACATCCGTCAACTTCCTGTCAATGTTGCGGTCGTCGCTCCACGAATCAATAATGATCCCGCCCTGGACATCAGCCTCACTCTGCAACCGCTCGATGACTCGGACCATCTTCCCACTGCCGTAGTGTCGCTCAACGAGCGCTCCGTGTCCCTCCACGATCTGCGCAATGTGCTCGAATAGTTTTGTCAGGGAATTGGCGTAGAAGAACCCGTCCTTGCGCGTCTGCCCGCCAAAGCCTTCCTTGAGTGTCGTCCGCGCCGTACCCGCAACGCCCTGACACACATATCGCCCGTAGACGTCCAATCCCACCTCAGCCCTCCCAATAAGAGGAAACAGCTTGAAGAACCGGGTAACCTTCGTCCCGTCGCTCTGGCCCGCAGCCTTCTCGAACTCCCGCAGGAACAGCCCGCACAGGCTCTCCCTGGAATCCTCCAGGGTCACCCAGGGAGCATCGGGGACCTCCACGCTGGGCACTATGCTGGCCGCGAAGGCGCCCTTGGTGATCTCCTCGGGCACCTTGCTGGCGCGGTCGAGATACGACGCCGCCGCCTCCCAGTCCTGGGGCGCACCCATGGACCCCACGACCCCGTGCACGCACGCCTTGAGCTCGGCCACCTGCTCCACGACCCTCAGTGTATCCTCGACCCGGCTCTTCTCCAGGTCCAGCTCCTTCACCTTGTCGCTGAGCCGCCCGGCCGTGTCGGCCGCCGTCGAGAGCATATCATTGCTGATCGTCCTCGTCGCTATGACCTGGGCTCCCAGCCCGGCCCGGAGGAGGTCTAGGCGGCCTAGATCGCGGGTCACATCGGCCTGCGTGGCGATGAGGGAGTCGAGCTTCTTGCTTATCGCAGCCTCCTGGGCGTGGAGGGCCTCGAGCGCGGCGCGGATCTCCGCTTCGTTGGCGGCATTCTGGATGCTCGATGTGGACACGGATGTGGGCGCGGGGACTGCGGCGGCAGGAACGTGGACGCCGTTTGGAATGGCTGACATTTAGGCTGCTTGGACGAGGAGGTGCATAGCTGCTTGGTTTACTGTCGCTCTCCTCGTCGAAATCGGGCACAACAAACGATTTCCGTGCGGCCTGGGAATTTCAATTGTAATAGCAAGGTCATGGAAGTCCGTTGCTTTGCGAACGTGGCCGAGTACCTGCCAATGTATGTGCTACCCTATACACACCGCCGTGTTAGTGGACAGTTCTTGACTGGGGCTTACCTGCATCTGATCTACATATTTATATCACAATATAACGATTACTAGATAACTGTGAAGATGGGCTTATTCTGACTATTACCGTTATCTCGTTCACATAAGATGACCACAATAGGTGCGTTGCGCTTCAATCCAGAGTCGATATCCGCATCGTATTCCTGTAACCAAATAATGTAAAAGTCAAAGACAACTCGCATCTGCACAAGCAAGTTGGAAGGTATACAAGTATAAACAGTAAATTCTACCCCATGTGAATGGCGGTATTTTTTATACATCTACATTGATAGGTATTCTTATATATGCGCCCCATTACCCATAAATAGCACGCCAGAATGCGTATATGTAATGCAAGTGCTAATTTACACTGCCTGACTATATCCACTGGTGAAACGCCGTTTCCCATACTTTAGGTATTTTCTCAATTCATCCGCCCAGAACACGGTGCTGCAGAGAAATAGCAGCCGAACAAGATCGAAGAATCCGATGGCTTCAGTCTGGAAGGTTGACTGCAGCCAAGGGAAGTAGATCACCAGGAGTTGGCAGATGATGCTCCCTGAAACAGCCCAGTTGAATAGATTGTTGGCAAAAAGTCCGATTTCACCTCGTAAAACAGATTTCGATTCAGATCGGCAGCTCAATGCGTTGAACATGTCGAAGAATACAAAGCAGGTGAACGTCATGGTTGTGTCACGTCGAGTCACCTGACCATCTGCTAGCATTTCGCGGCTGTAGATGAGCATAGTTCCAAGCGTGATGATTGTTGCAGAAGAGAGAACTCGTCGAATAAGTGCTTTAGTTAGCACAGGATCATTTCGCTTTCGTGGAGGTCGGTTCATCACATCAGGATCAACTTTCTCAACTCCGAGAGATTGAGCGGGTGGACCGTCCATAATGATATCTGGAAAAGTTAGAAGGGTTTCGTTTCATCTTCGAGGGGAATAAATGAATATGATAGACTTACTGATCCATAGAATCTGCATCGCATTCAAGGGGTTCTTGAACCCAAAGCAAGTGCAGATGAAGACAAGTGCCAAACTGGCGGCACTGGTGCTCAGTTGAAATGTTAAAAAGTTCTGAATGTTGTTGAATATACCCTTGCCCTCCTCTATAGCATGAAGAATGGTCGAAAAGTCGTCATCTGTGAGAATCATATCCGCAGCCTCTTTGGCCACATCTGTCCCATGCCGACCCATTGAGATTCCAATATCAGCCTTCTTCAATGCCGGAGCATCGTTGACACCGTCACCAGTCATGGCGACAATGTCGCCCCGAGACTGCAAAGCTCGAATAATCTTCATCTTGTGATCGGGGTTGGTTCGTGCAAAGATGGTCGTATGCTCCATGGCTTGTGCAAGCTCCAAATCGGACATTCTGTCCACTTCGTCGCCCCTCAGCACAGATTTGACCATCCTCTGACCAGCAGAGTGTGGGCTTGGGGTAGCGATGGCCATCCCTAGCTGCTTTC